CTGTCTCGGCGAAAGCTATGAGCGAAAAGCGTTTCGTTATCCACGATTCATAACTTTTGGATTCATAACTTTTGGATTCATGACTTTTGGATTTTATCTGAGCTCTTTCCCTTTTTACGAAGCTGCTTTCTTGCAGTGATTGTTGTTTGACCACATTTGTTTAAATAAAGCTTGTCATAATTTAAGGAGGGTGTTCAATCTCAATATGTATATAACAAACTTAATACCACATGGAAAGTGCTTTGTACGGTGTTTACACACTCGTTGTTTTGTATCAGAAATCTCACTCGTTCGCTTCGCTCACATGTTCGATTTCTGATACGGCACAACTCGTGTGTAAACACCGTACGCGCGCACTTTCCATGAAGTATTCTATATTTATTGCTTATTTTTTAATGCATAGCACCTTAGGACATGTATAGAAAATAAGTAGTGTCCCTTATTGCGAGAATTGCTTTCATACGCATTTCTTAAAACCGCAGTGCACATATATGATTTTCATATCTCAGTCATTGATTTGGCACTTCACGGGTTTAATACGAACCAACATCATGACCAGCTCCCAGTCGGCTTGTTAGCTCAGTTAGTAGAGCATTGCACCTGTATCGCAAAGGCCAGAGGTTCAAATCCCGAATTACTTAACTAGTGTTCATTACTGCGAGGATCGCTTTAACATACCTGATGTTAGAGTGTCAGGATGAAACACTTGCTATTAACGGATCTGCTGTTTAAAGAAAGTCGCACATGAGAAAGAATTCCCTCCAGGGGGGGAAGTGATGGGGAAATGTTGGTACAACTGGTCCGGAGGGTGCGAAAGGAGAAGAAGGAGCCAGTGGAAGCGAAGGCACCGTGGTATGTTTAGTTACCATTTAGACCACGCTTTTCGGTTTCATTACTAATCGGTCAAGGTTGCTTTGAACTTGGTGCGGTATTTGTTGAAAAGAAAGAAGTTCCATGGAACCTCTCTTTTGAAGCATTATATATTTACCCCATTTAAGGGCCACAAAATTGGATCCCAACCGTGACCTTTATTGAAGAGACGCCGTTATTCAGGGACACGTTTTCCAGTCCCGTTGGCGTCCCTCAAGTTGAGGTTCCACTGTTACTTAATCTGGTACCCTCACTGAAGAGGTACTTCTTGTCGAGGCACACTTTTTCTAGTCCCGAAATTTTCCCTTGATGTATTTTCAATTAAAGTTTCCAAGAGGCCTACAGTGAGCCACGTGTAACGTGCTTCGCGCGGAGTCGTCGCATAAGACTTTGGCTGTTGTTAAAATCCTTTTTTGAACCCTTTTTTTTTTACGAAAAGCCGAACTTTGCTCTGATTTGTGGGTCTTTTTTGTTGTGAAAACTTTGAGGTATTTGAGCCTCAAAAGATATATCACTACAACTAGTATTTTCCTCGTGTCCTCTCTCGCGATAGGTTGTTAGAGAACTTTTTTTTACTGAAAGAGAGCGTAACGAGGTTCGTAAAACGGCATCGGAATGCTTTTATAATTCTAATGATAATGTTTTTGCAATTCTTGATCAATTCTCCCCTAACAGTCATACCCGTGTCTTGTTTTAGGGTGTTCCAGGTCAGCGTGGCTCGCGAGGACCCGAGGGAGAACCTGGTGCTACGGTAAGTCGTTCAGCCAGTATCATGCAGTATCGTTTGGGTTTCTTTGGTTTTAGCGTCTAATACCGTTCAACGTATTCAGCCCTCTATTGCGGTCCTCGTTGCTTATTTACACCAATTTGGTTGATGTGATATCTTGTACCTAAGCTTGCAATTCAATATGACATGTACAGTTGTATGTTTTTAAGAAACCAAGTTATTACATACTTTTTTTTCCCTTTTCTGATAAATCCATTTTGCTTCTGTCTGCATACAGGGAGATCCGGGAGAATTCGGTAACAATGGAAACGTTGGATCAAGAGGACAAAAGGTATTCATAAGTATCCTTGATTATTTTTTTTATTTAATTATTCATCAAAACTAAAACAATATTTTCGAACGAGATTTGTTATCACCAGCCCGATTTGAGCACTTATGGGATAGTGTGTGCGTCATGCTAGTAATTGGTCCGTGTAATAGGACAGTTGACTTGTCATGCCGGTGTTAGTGTACAGTACGTGTCATGTGCGCACGCTGTTGGGGCTCATTTCGTCGAGTTAACTGTTGTATTTATTTATGAAAACATAGAACCGATTTCTAGTTTCTTTCTCAAATTCCGTCGTAGTTTTGATTAATTGGTAATCATACTTGTGTTAAACGAATTTATTCCCGCCTCGCGGCCGTCAGACTTTGACAATCACTCGTTTGATTACAGACCGAATTGGTCTCCTCTCAGTCCTATTGCTCGTTTACTTGGTTAGTTATTTATATTTTTCATTTTTCTCCAATGGGAGGTTTCCCTCACAAGAAAAACAAGAGAAATAATTTTGACATAAGATATTATTTGTAACATATATCTATAATTACATTGTTGATGATATATTTTTAAAGTTTTATTTTCTTAAGGATGTAGGGTATGAAGAGCCAAAAGTCCCAGACGAAAGAAAGAGGATGTATTTACATATTTACACGAATTTAATTTGTCTTTTTACGTATTTAAATTTCTAGGGAGATCCGGGAGATACAGGTGACCCTGGCCCAGACGGAACCTTGGGACCAAAGGTAGGTGGCGGCCTAGAATCTTCAATTTCATTTAACGTTGCAAAGTGAGGAAATATAATGGGTGCAGGAATGGGATGGTAAACTTTTTCATTTTATCATTTTTAGATACATAAACGCCTTTTTTTTTTTTTTTTTTTTTTTGTCGTTTTTCGTCTGCTCATAAGACGTTGAGTTGAGCACGATGCTTAATCTGTTGACGCAATAGGCAAGCACACTCCAAAGTGTTATACCATTGTCCAGTTTGGTTACTGTCCCAAGACCCAAGGATGCTTTGATGTTTTGCTAATGCTCCAGTGGGTATATTTTAATTCTAGGGTCAAAAAGGTGACATTGGTCCGCGAGGAGACAATGGTTTAGAAGGCGCTGTGGTAGGTTGTCAACTGTTGTTATTCATTTATTGTCTTTTTATCTGTGCATTTTCCAGCAAAAAGATACATTGACGTTCTGGCTTGATTAATTAAGCGCTGCGGGGTTCAGTAAATCTACTGCGTTTCGCGTTCGGCGCTCATCGAAGAGTCCTCTAATCGATTTTTAAATTAAGTGTCTGTACACCACTCAACTCAGAAAATGTATTATGAAAGAGTTATGAAGTGGGCGACTGAACTGAGTTCGTTTGAATCAATTGGCCACTGGGCTCAGTGCTAGGAAATTATCTTCCCGCTTAACTAACATGCACAGTCTTGCTAAAGTGAAGAACGTTTTGAGCTGTTTTTAATATTGTACTGCAAAATGGGGAGTTCGACACAAAGACCACACTGTGGATCGCTTCGACTGTTTACGATCGGATGTGAAACGATAACCGTTGGCACAATTAAAGTTTTTGGTTGGTTGATTGAATTCAATTATCTTATGTAGATCGGTTGGTTATACTTTTGCTGACGAAAATAATCCTGCGCTTTTCTGAGATAAAAGAAAACTCGTTTAATTCATTGCCTCGTATCTCAAATTGATATCAGTCAATAACGCCGATAAGTGCCACATTCCTAGATGTAGCGTTCATCGAGTAAACATCGCAGCTTAAAATAAATTCAATTTACGAAGGAAGTTTTTCTCCCGTTTCCTACACAGGGTGCTGATGGGCCACGTGGTCGGGTCGGTGAAAGAGGAAACGAAGGTTTTGAGGTAAGTCATATGCAAGGACATTTATTTTAATGAAATTCAGCTGGGATGTTAAGTCGTTATAACTTTATTAAACATCATTCCGTGACAGGGTCCAACAGGGGCGTCTGGATCCAGAGGATCAAAGGTAGCTTTAATTTTTTTTCTTTCACTCAGATATGGCCGTAGGATGTATTTCGAAAACTAGAAGCCAAAATAGTAGAAAATTAAATAACAGTGGAAAACTAAATCTTTTATTCGAAGATATAACATGTAATGGGAGCAGACATTTTGCTCACTCCTTGTATTTTTCCACGCTCCGCAAGACAACTCGCTAAATATCTGCGCGTATTATTAGTGTTATTATAATTATTTTTATCATTATTATTATTATGTAATGATGTTAAACATTGTATGAGTTATTTTTATCTATTTTAATGTTTCTATTCATCAAACTATTATATCAAGCTATTTTACGAATAACGTCACTTTCTCTCATTTTGACTTTTTTCAGGGAGATCGAGGTCTTCAGGTAGAGTAACAAAGTCATCGTTTGTTTAAGTCTGACAACCTCACAAAAAAAAGTTAACATTTTGTAAATTTTCAGTAAACGTGGCTTTCCACCAGGACTACGGTTGTTGTAAACTAACTTTTTTCTCGTTTTCTTATTCTCTCTCCATTTTCATTTATGTGTGGTTTCTCAGGGCGAAGACGGTCGAGGGGTAAGTTTTTCATTCACATTTTTATCGCCAGCAATAAAAAAAAATCTGCTCTAAAATGAGAAAAAAAAGGAAAATGATTTTGGCTAACAGAGAAAGTGAGCAATACAGCAAAGATGCTTCTGATCAAATTTAGGCTCAAAATAATAATAATAATAATAATTTATTGACCTCTAAGGCGCAAATTCTATATAGATATATTCAAATACGCCATAACATAATAATTACAATAAACTAAAGATAAGATAAAATAATGATAATAATGATAATTGGAATACAAATAACAATAAATGCGATTCATGATATATAAGATATATAACACCTTACTAATTATTACTTGAAATGTTCTATTTTTAAATTAAAAAAATTAAATGTTCTATTTTTTGATAAAGTTTTAAAAACTTTATCAATGAATAAATAGCTATAAAAACTTTATCAATTATAAAATGTTTTCTTAAAAAGAAACGTCTTAAGCTTCGATTTAAAACTATTAATAGAACTAGATTCTGTTATATCCCTTGCCAAATTACTCCATAGCTTAGGTGCCGCAAACATAAATCCTCGGTCATTAAGTGTTTCCTTAGACTTAAAACTAGGATAACTGAGTAAGGTCTTGTCACTGAAATTCCTTAAATTATATCTTGACTCGGGCTTGCGTGTTATTAAAGAACTTTAATAAGACGGTGCTAAACCCTTAAAAGTCTTGAAAACAGTCAATACGATCTTAAATTCAATTCTTAACTTAAGAGGTAACCAAAGAAACTCCATCCATAAAGGAGTAAGGTGACATTATTTACTTTCATTGCATATTAATCTATCACACGTGTTGAACACGTTGCAATTTGTTAATTTGATATTCCGGAGCACCATACAATAAACTATTGCAACAGCCAATTCTGTTTGAGATAAAGGCATGGACCAGAGTTTTTTGTGTTTTCCATAGACAGGTACTTTCTTATCCCCCTCAGATTGTATAAGTAGTAAGAGGCAGAGTTGCATGTTCTTGTTATGTGAGTGGTCTGATAAGGTTTTCTTCTAAGGTCCTTGATCAGAGAGTTCCTTGCATTTGTTTTTGGTGGTTCAATACTACCACATGTATTTTGTATACAACAGTTCTGATTGTGCTGATTGAAATTATCTAGGGTCCCTCAGGTGAAAGAGGACCTCCTGGTTCGCCGGTAAGTAAAATAGCAAATGAGCAAACAAGCTAAACTTCAAAGTGTCTGAGCAGTTTTCAGGGTCAAGATTTCTCTTGAATTGTGCACCATCCAGGCTCATTCTTTTTGTCCATTTATTTAGTTTGCCTGGTTCCATCTCTATTTATTTTCGGGAAGTTCTATGCCAAAGAGTTAGCATTTCGTCTCATAAAAATTATCATCGCTATTGTTCATTGAGCCCGATCTTAAAGTGTAGGAAGGAGTGTTCTTAGAGTTTTAAAAGAAACCTTTCCTTTTGATGAAAAGTAAAAGGAAGTGATAATATATTTGAAAAATCGAATTCCAGATGGGATTTGAACCCACGACCCTCCGTGATCTAGTCGGATGCTCTAACCACTGAGCTACAGGAGACTCTATTGTGAGTAAGGATCAATTAGTGGATATTGACTGGAACCGCATCACGCGGCTATACAGCCAAACATCAGCTAGCGCATAGAAGCTCACTAACAGCATCACGCTGTCACATCAAAGCATCACATGCAGCCAACCAGCCCCCAAAGTGAGCATGTAAAGATGAAATAAACATAGAGTCTCCTGTAGCTCAGTGGTTAGAGCATCCGACTAGATCACGGAGGGTCGTGGGTTCAAATCCCATCTGGAAACTCGATTTTTCTCTTATATTAAAAATTGTTTATTTCATCTTTACATGCTCACTTTGGGGGCTGGTTAGCTGCATGTGATGCTTTAATGCATGTGATGCTTTAATGTGACAGCGTGATGCTGTTAGTGAGCTTCTATGCGCTAGCAGATGTTTGGCTGTGTAGCCGCGTGATACGGTTCCAGTCAATACCCACTAATTGACCCTTGCTCCCCATAGAGTCTCTTGTAGCTCAGTGGTTAGCGCATCCGACTAGATCACGGAGGGTCGTGGGTTCAAATCCCATCTGGAAACTCGATTTTTCTCTTATATTAAAAATTGTTTATTTCATCTTTACATGATAATATATTTAGCATGGAAATACAGCCTGATGTGCATCTTTTTAACAGGAATACGCTGGTGATGGATTTCTCACAGTTCCACCCACCCTCTCCTCTCTCCCTCTCCTCCCTCCCTCTCCTCCTTCCCTCTCCTCCCTCCCTCTTCCCTGTGATCCCGTTTGGCTGCGAAAGGGAACCATAGTATTAAGCATCATTTTTTCATCTTTAGGCCGTTCTTCCTACTGAGTTTGCAGGACAGTTTTCAGTAAGTCATTCATATTTTGTTCAATTGTTGTTGTTGCGCTTACAAAACTTCTGACAGTTGAAGAACATCAGTGACACACACGGCTGCGCCTCGTGTGCCACTTTTTAAGTTCTTATCACATTTTGACGTCTTCTAGACACATGGCAACATTGAATATATTCGTTAGTTCCTTTAGTACAAGGTAGTATTTCTTATTTGTCTTGTTAAGAACCGTTGAACTTCATCTATGCTTTGTGTCGGCCTAGTTCCCAGGATACCAACAAGACTACAGCGATCCTGCCCTTCTCGAAACAGAAAAATCTGGATCAAGGAGGTTGTACCGGAGCGGCGGACAGGTATTAGTGTAGAGTAGTGAAGCTGTACTGAACGTTGGGGATAGTAACGTAAGGTTACTGTGAAGTGAATATCTCCTCTATCAAAATGGCGCCTAAAAAAATCTCCTTTCTGGGCACAACGTGAATCATTTTCTCCTCTTCACTACCCTCAGTTTAATGTTTACCTGCATATATCGGAATCCGCCATTGAGAAAAATAGTAGTTTTGCTTTCTTAAATATGTAAATTAAGCGTCGTTAGTGTATCTGACTGTTACTTTTGATGTTACCCTTTTTGTTTTCATTAACAGGACACGGAAACCGAAACCAAATCTCAGGTAATAGGACTTTTTTCCAAGTTACAAACCCCTTGTCCCCTGGAAGTCCCATAAAAGTATTGATCACATGGCATAAACGTTACTAAAGTATTCAAGCTAGTAAATCAATGTTAACATCTTAAGCCTTAGATTAGACGTCCCTCACTTGGCAACAATATAACACTGCAGTGGAATGCAGTGGATTTTTATTGTTCCTCGTGTCGTTGTGGTTGTTGTTGTTGTTGTTGTTGTTGTTGTTGTTGTTGTTGTTGCTAATTTTGCTTTCTCTCTTAGTTCCGTCGAAAGTCGTAACTCTTACTTCGTAGATCGATGAATTATAGATGTAATTGACGAACTGATCTTTAGCGGTGTATTCATGATCAAGAAATTGTAGATACAAGGTTTACAGTTCACTGTCGTCAACTGTATAATTCCAAGTACCGCCTAAAATAATCAACAACAACAACAACAATTTAACATTTATATAGCGCAAACTACTATATAGATAATCAGTCGCGCTTTTACAATCAGTTAAGGTGAGATCGGACGTCAGAATTCATCAGGCGCAATATGCAGCCACTTCAGTCCATGTATTGATCTCACCTACCCTCCCCAATTCACCCTAGAGTAGACACTGCACAAAGATAGACCACAACACCGGTCAATATGAGCTCAGTAGTCACAGAATTTATTGAAACCGCAACGGGCCCCAGAAAACGCAAGCAGGTAGTGAAGCTAGATTTGACGTCTACATACAATATTTTATATTATCAAACATTCTCCTACGTCATACCTACAGACAATAGATTTTGTATGTATAGACGTGACGTCATACCTACAGACATTAGTTTTATGCGCTCTTGTCTTAACAAGTGCAGCTCAGGAATATGCATAATAAAACAATTATTGGATTCGGTTTTATTATGATAGAGATAATTAACAAGGCCTCAGTTTGTGTTATCCGCCTCAGCCTTCGGCTGCAGCAGATAACACAAACTTTGGCCTTGATAATTATCGCTATCATGCTCAACCTCATCTAATAATTGTTGAATAACAACACTTAGTTACAACAGTCACCCCTCCTTCACCCCAGTTACCACAGTCACCCCTCTTTTACCTATACTTGTATGTTTTTTCTTTGCTCTCTAGATTGACCTTTACGACGTGATCAGTTATCGTCTAGATATGTATAAGAATCCCAACGGCTCCCAATCATTCCCCGCAAGGACCTGTCGAGACCTGCACATGAGCTATCCTGAACTCAAAAGCGGTTTGTGTACATAATGATGTTAGTTTTTCATGTCATCATTGTTTTTTGCTTTTAGTAACAGAAAGGTTTGGTTTTTCAACCTTTGGGAGCCATAGCAAATTTCGGGAAAAAGCCCTGGAGGCCTCATGTATCAGTTTTATCATGAAGCTTTCTACTGACTGTACAAATCGATTCAGTGATAAAATCGTGGATTGATTTACTGGTTAAAGGGGTAAAGTCTTGAAAGAAACTGTAGGGCTGCGTCTGTGAGGGTATCACGAGATAATTTGATTTTATCAACTGAGTTGATAAGGTAATAAAATAGGTCATTTATTAGAGTTTCTTAGGCGGCCGTTTCGAGCGTTAGCCCTTCTTTCAGAGAGCTCCAACGCTCCAAACTCTCTTTGGTGGCCAATTACATTGCCAATTTAGTTGATACAACTAAATTATCTCGATTTACTAGTTGTTTGATTGACAGACTGATTGATTGGCTGATTATTTGGCTGTTTATTTGACTGATTACTTTAGGACTCTATTGGATTGATCCTAATGGTGGAATAACAAACGATGCCATCAAAGTTTATTGTGAATTCCAAACTAATGGATCGTGCCTGTATCCAGGACAAGAAAACCAGGTCAGTGAGCTAGTTCCATTGCGTGTGTTTTGGTTCTTTTAGACTTTAATTTGTCTCTAGAACGTTGTGCTGAACTGGTGTGACTGTTGATGTGCCTGGCTAGCGTGACTGTGGGTGTGCTCTTGACATTATTTGTTTCCAAATTGGGAGGGTTCATCAGTATGTATGGTTTCTTGTTTTACAGCCGTTTGTGACTGACAAGAAGAAGTGGTTCACCGGAAGCGATGGATACAAATGGCTGGGAAAAGAACTGCTCGGACTCGACAAAGTAAGAACTCAGTCTTCAGAAACTCGATTTGTTTACATGTTCATGCCAGCGCTATTCGTTTCGTACCAAAAGTACGAGTCTCTGGACACTCAACAACACACTTTCTTACTACTACTTCCTTCTGCTTTTGCTTTTGTTGTTGTTTTGTTTTTTTGTTGTTGTTGTTTTTTTTTTTTGCATCTCCTTTTTCCCTTAGTTAGAAAAAATAACAATAATCGTACCCCAACTCCAACAACCAGACCAAACAAACCAAAAACGTTCGTGTTATGTTAAAAATTAAGCTCAACTTGAGAAACTATGTTCGTCTATTTTTGGAAACACAACATACCGTGACATTTCTTGATATTAGCTCTTAGCCTCTGCATTATCAATGTTTTCTGTAATGGAATTTTTTTCATTTTTGATATATTCTGTGCCGTTAATTAGACGTTCAGTTTGTGGACTTGTCCTCGAAATATCTCGGGTGAAAAAAACCGAATTTACGGCTATGATTTCCTTCTTGAGTTACGAATACAACTCTTGATCGGCTTATCAGAACAAACAATTTCCAGAGATGAGAGAAACAGGAGTTTCTTTTTGAAGGTGAAATTTGATTTAACTATTCACTGCGCATGCATTAAGAGGCACCAATTACAATCACAAGTTCTACGCGTTTTGAAGTCGTAATAGAACAGAAATGGAAATCCTCTCACCCCGTTTATCTTAATTATTTGGGTTTTTTTTCATATATTACAAACATTTTACGTACACTGTTCACAATCCTGACCATATTTGACTTGCGAGGTATGATACGAGGGAGAATAAAGGATGCAAAACGATCAGAAGTCTCGACGTGGCCTGAACCCATGATTGCAACTTCTTTGATTAATTTAAACTCGTGAGGGTTAGTTCTTCACTTTCCATATATGTTTGTATTCTGCACAGCTCGAATACGTGTCGGAGCAAAGTCAGCTGGAGTTTCTTCAGCTGTTGAGTGATCGTGCCCGCCAGCGGATTACGTATCACTGCAAGAATTCCGTAGCGTGGCCTAAGAAGAGTTCGGATGAAGGAATGAAGTCCATCAAGATGTTAACTGTTAATGGGCTGGAACTGCACGCTAGATCCTCTAACAAATTCAAACCGACACTTGTGGGGGATGATTGTACGGTAAGTGAAACAAAATAAATTGAGTCTATCTAGTTCAACGAGTTCAACGTGACCTGGATGTAAACTGTAGGTGCACTTAATTTAGAATAAGAAACGCTTGACTAAATTAAAAAGGGAGAAAAGCTCACCTTTTAGCCTGCCAATCACTACGTGGCGCCAAGAGACAAGCACTCTGTCAGCTATTGGCCGTGGGTTGAAATGAAAACCCGATCGATTTCATTTAAAGACGAGACCGCGGTTGAGTCATGTCCTTAAAGTTAGTCATCAACGTCTCAATTGTCAGAGTGCGTTAGAAAGGATTGTACGGATATTTTTCCTTCCCCTTTTCCTTCTCCTTCTCCTTTTCGTTTTCCTCTTCTCTCCATTTTCTCATGCTAATTTTTTTCGTGATCAGGTGAAAGATGGATCCTGGCATCGCACCACCTTGGAAGTGGACACACCCAAACCTCACCGTCTCCCCGTTCTTGATGTAGCTGTTTATGATATTGGAGATAGTGGAGAGGAATTCGGTCTTGAATTCGGACGCGTGTGCTTCTCTTGATTAACAAAAACGCATGTCAAACTGTACATTGTAGTTAAAAAGGTGCAGTAATTAAAACTTGAGACTATAGTTGTAAGTTATTGAGTTCAAACGAGAGAAGCAATCATAACTTCCAAGCAAGGTAGTTGAAATAAAACCTGTTTTTATCCTTTATGTTAAGCACGTTTCATATGGACTCATGAGGAATAATATCCTTTTTAAAGATCAAGTTGCCAAATGAACGATGATCACCACAAGAAATGATACTTTGAATTAATTTACTTCATTAAAGCGTAAACGGGCCTAAAAACAATTCCCTTCAAATGTTCACTAGTCAGTCAAAGATAGATATATAAATTGGATTTTAGAATTGCTTTGTGAATATAAGGTGCGGACTACTTCAGTCGTCCGTAACTAGAACCGATCCGCCTTCTATATGACCGTTTATAATCTACATCGAGTCTTATTGATGAGATGTTTCCGCTGGTTTGTGGTATTTTCATCAATTCGAATAGAAAGCGTTTGTGTTTCCATCAAGATTAATGTTACGCGTCTTCATTTTCGTGCTGATCTATTTCTTAATTGAAGGACTAACTGCCGTCAGTAAAATTAAATGACGTGGTTATCATTCAGCAGAGGTCCTTAGCCATTGATACCCCTGAAAATCTCCACTGTTTACGCTACTGAATCAGCGTGACAACATTTACACGGTTGTTTTTCAATCATCACTTCTCTGTTATAAGTTAGCGAGGCCTTCTATGGGACAAAAGACTTACCTTTAAACATGCATACAAACTGGAAATAAACTTAACGAACCACGGTTAAGTGCAGTTCACCTCGTTAAATAGCTTTATCAGATTTTCAGCGTGACCCAAAGGCTTCAGGATCAAATACATTTGATGTTCGGTTAACCTTTTTTTCCCCGGATGAGAGATCCTGGCAAGGAATGTTTTCAAGGAATTTGTTTCCTGAAGCAGAAGTTTCTTTCCCAAAAAAATTCCGGATGTCGATGACAATTTAAACATAAACGAGGCAAGGGTTTTATACTGGCGTGCACGTCAGACGAAAAAAAAATTAAAAAGAAAAGGTGCTGTAGTCCTTGTGCTATCATATTACGTCTAAGTTTCAAATTGCATATCTTTCCCGTCCATGTCACAAGGAAGGCTTAGGAATAATAGACTATTATCACCGAGTCCCATCGATCGAGAGAGCTGAGACGGCCAAGGCCAATGAGAAAGGAATAGCTTGCTGTAGTCTGCAAGACTAAGATTTCTTCGTTGGTTGGCATCATGATTGGCCGTAGTCTGCTAGGTCTGTACAGCTTGCTGATCGCGTGGTCTTTGGAGTCTGAAGCACGTAAGTGGTTTTCATCCGTAATAATATATAAAAGACTTCCCTGCCGTGTCTTTAATACTAGTATGGCATTTACCAACATTACCCTGATGTTATAGTGAAGCAACATTTGTTAAAGAGTTAACGCTTAAGTTCCTTTTCATTTGGAATAGACCTAGGAAGCTTTTATGCTACTTCATAATCAACTGAGTCTACCATACACAGATTCACGAATGCCTTCGACTTTGAGGATGAGAAATTTATCTTCCAAGTTGATAATGCTCTATATATTTTTAAAAATATATTTTCTACCAAACGACCTTCGCCTACAAGCTTTAAAATTCATAATTTCTCTACTCTTCGGCTAATACTTCAAGAAAGACACTGTGATGAGGACAGAAGCGCTTTGTTTTCACGCATTCTTGCAAGCGTTACCATTGCGCAGTCATTACGTTATTCCTATCTGTAAGTATCCTCCAATCTTCTTGTCTCGTGGCCGTATAGGTCTGAGTCTAAAATCTTCACTTCGTTTCTTTATAAAATCATACATAATGAATTAGTCAAGTTCAGTGACAATTTCAGGCTTTGAACTTCCTAAACAACTGTCTTGACCTTACAAATACGCTTAACAATTTCGGAAAAATAAAAATCCGCAGAGTTAGTAGTAAAGGACACAGGCAAGAAGAGATAAAAGCTTGAATCGAATGAGCGTTGAGTTCTTACAAGAGAGGATCCTCTCTTGTTTGTTGTGAAAGAAATCAAGGATCATCAAAATCCAAAGCTTAAACGCGGTGGGTTGCACAACTAAACACTGCCATTTTTTCTCAAAGGTAAAACTGATTACGAGATGCTAGGGTTTCTCTGCAAAATCTTTCAAGAAAGCTTATATCGGGAAAGAAATGTGCCGTTTATCGTGCCAGTGATGACACTCAAGTAAGCTGACCACAAACGTCCTTTTCGCATCAGATAATGATCTCAGTGTTTATTCGCGTCTGTTTATTGAGACAGTCAAGCATTGTCGTTATCTAACGTGACACTTACCTGCTCAATTTTAACGCAGCATCAATGCAAAGGATGCTTCTTTGCTCCTTACGTATTTTAAACGAGTCGCGCAAA